GGCGGGGGTATCGGGGATGAGGGGGAGCCACCGCGCCAGTCGCGGCCATTGGACCGGCGTCTGTTCGTGTACGAAATCCGGGACAGCTGTTGGATGGGATCGGGTCCGAGGTTGCGCCTCGCTTGAGGTCGGCGCTCGCGATGCTGACTCGTGCCTTTTCCAGGATCTGGCTCGTGATGATCCTGTTCCGCTCCCCTCCCCTTGCCCCCGTCGCGCACCTGCTACCTCAAACCTCGCCCCACTAAACCCTCAACCCTGAACCCCAGGGCCGTCTTCCACCTGCTGTACTCCCTGATCGGCCACGGCCACGAGGACGCGGAGGCAGCGCGCAGGCTGGACCCGCCGGACGACTTCTTCCGCGTCCGGATGGTGGGCACAGGCCCGTGCGCGCGTGCGCGCACACACACACACACACACACACACACACACACACACACACACACACACACACACACATACTCACACACACACAACATGGACGGTTGTTTGATGGGACCCTCTGTTAGCACTGCCTGCCTGGGTGTGCGTCGCGCAGAGCCCCTCTGGCAGCGGCGGGCAACACGGTCGGGTGCCGACGAGGACGTTTGAGGAATCCTCTTCATGCACTCCCCCAAAACTCCAACACTCGACCCCAAGACAAGAACCTTATCATTCCACCACCCACTATTTAGACCCCACCCACACACCCAGGGCTTCACCCAACAACCCAACACCCCACCTACGCATGGCGCCTCCCACACAAAACCTCCCCCAGGTGGTTGCGGCGCTGTCCACCTGCGGCATGTACTTTAAGAAGGGCGCGGCGGGGCGGCGGCTGGACAGGTTCCTCACGCTCTTCCAGGTGGGAAGTGGGACGGACACAGAAGTTGAAGAGTCACGGGGGACCTCGGCTGCTGGGAGCATGACAAAGTTTAGAGCACACCGGCGAGGGCTGCGGCAGCGCGGGGCGGCGCCTGTCCCTCCTGCGCCGGTCGTGCTATGCTGCGGCCTTCGCGCCTGCGCGTTCGTGTCGACGCGCGATCACACACGCGCATGAACACACATGCATAAGCACGCGACGCCCTCCCAGTGCGTCCCTGCGCCCTCCACACCCCGTGTGCCTTGCACTCAGGCTTACCTGTTGGCCAAGGACCCCCTCCCCTTGGATGTCGAGTTTGATGTTCAGGTCCGCCCCACAACCCCCTGCCTGCCCACTGCTGGTGCTGGTCACGGCCGCCCTTGTTCACCCAGCCACCAGTCCGTTAGCTCGCCAAACAACTATGCACCCGTCCACCACACCGACGAGTGGTCGTAGTTTGTTGCCCCCATGCGTCAGAATGCAGTTCTTCCAATGCATCCATCACAGCGACTTGTCAACCCTATCACAGGATCTTTTTGACCTGGTGCGCCCTGGGGCCAAGCGCTTCAGCAGCTACCCGGAAGCCGCCGCCGCCGCCGAGCAGCTTCTCGCCCAGGAGGCCGCCGCCGCCGCGTCCGGCCTGCCGGCGGCGGACGAGGAGGAGGACGAGGAGAGGGAGGGGGAGGAGGACGAGCGGCGCAGCGATGGCGACGCCGGCGGCGGCGGCGAGGGCGACAAGGGGGGCGGAAAGGATGGCGGCGGCCGGGAAGAGGGGAGGGGGGGCAACGGGGAGGGGGATGCCGGGGACATGGGGGACTACGAGAGAGG